TTGAGTTGACTAAAAATAAAAAGTTATACCTTATTCAAACAAGACTCCTTTCAAAGACAAGGGAGTAGGAGACAAGCAATTGCACAAACAAGATTTTAGTAAGTGCCGTGTCAAATAAGGACGCTCAAAACACCATCATCCCTAAAATATTATAGTAAGTCAAATGACACTTACTATAATGTACCCCCTCCGTCCCACTCTTTTTGTCCACTTTCATTTTTACACATCTACCAAGGAAGGATGATTTAGTAGAGAAAGTTACAAAAATACCCTTAGGCGCCCTCAACCAGTCAACGATATAGGCTACAAAACTTTCCTCACTGTGCGGGTTTGGCCTTTCCCTTTCGCCTATGATTTCTCTATTCTCGTCGTCCTCGATCTTAAACAAACAACACTTTGGGATATTGGGGAAGTGCGCTAACAGATGTGATAATCATTATCAATTTCACCTCTCTATTTCTAGACTATTGGACATTTGGGGATGACCCGACTCATACGAACGCATTATTTGCAGCCATAGGGGTGTCAATTCCCAATTTGTCTGTCGTTGAACATGATCTAAGCTCTAGAGCTCGAATCGGAGAGAGGAAATGCATCGTCTCTGTGTATTTTCATTGATAGGGAAGGTTGGAGGAAAGATTTTGTCACTGTTAGGTATCCGCATCTCAGTAGATGGAGTTGGAAGATCAAGTCATCGAAGGAGGTAAGGGTAAAGAAACGGCGTTAGAGGATGATGTATTGATGTTGGGCTTAGGCAAGAATGAGGTTGGAAAGACTGGTAGAGATAGGGGTAAAGAGAATGGGAAGAGAGGGCATATTTGTCATTCCAGCACTTTTTACTTTACTAAAAATAGAAATTGGACGAATACAGTGGGACGTCCCAAAAAGGAATACTGGACAAAAACACTGGGATGGAGGGAGTATCATCTAAGAAGCTGAAAATTGTAAATCCCCAAAATTTGAGACCGGGCATAGATGACTGTTGACACAGCAATTAAATAAATACCAAATGTCAGGGAAAGCAGATCAGAGTAATTCATTTCCATTAAATCAGGTAATACGGAGTAATTATTATTTTTACATACTCTCAACTCTCAAGTGAAAAACAGACCTCCAAATTGAGCAAACATGAGCTAAAATTATTTAATGTGGAATTATACACTATAAAATTACTAGACGAGGGCCAAAACTAACTTCAAGGGCTGTCGGATCATCTGGGGAGGTGGCAAGGGTGTCCTCAAACTGCTTCAGTCTCTTCTACAAAACAAATGAGCGTAACATTTCAATATCAGCAGCGAAAATAATTTTAGAAACAAAGAAGCATACATTAAGTCCTGACAGCTTGAAACTGAATATGATCTGAATTACATGTATGATGTATACATTTATAGTCAGGCCTACAAGCTTTCTTTATGAGCGTGTACACATTTGCCTGCTAAAGAATGATGATTCTTAGAATGAGATATAGACAGTCCCTTTTCACATTAGGACTTAGAAACTCACTACACTTCAAAAATAATCACAGAAGTAGTAGCTAAAAAGGAAAGAATTGATTGAAACTATTTGTATTTTACATCAACTGAGCAAATGAAACAATCTACTCCGATACCAATTGTTTAGAGAGGACCATATCAAAGCAAAGTAGAATATTTTATTGATGTGTACCATTACGGGATTCATTGTGTTCTCTAATATAAATAGAGAACAAACCAACACAACTTTTACAACCAACACAACTATTACAAACCAACACACCTATTAACATTAGAAACTACCCATAACTGCCTTTTAGAAACTACCCAACTGTTTTTTATTTAAATTAATTAAATATGTAAAACACACTAAACGACACCATACTAACGGACTCGAACATTGACCCATTACCCATTTGGTTATATGTAATATGTGAACAAACCCGATTAAATCTAACATACTACACAGACTATCTGACTATGAGAGAAATTTGATTAGTGCCACACGTTTTACCTGAAGGCTTGCTTTCTTCTCTTCTGAAATTTTCTTATCAACAGTGGTGACTTCATTTGTGGGACTAACAATAGACATCACAAGGCCATATCAGGATCATATTTGGCTCGTGAAGAAATATAAGATATGATAGTTTAAAGAAGACAATAACATTTATGAAGCATGGCTAACCAGGAAGTAGCATTCACCTAATAATTCCATTTCATATTTTTTTCTTCCGAGATATAGAAAAAATAAATAAATTCAACGATAACTCAAGGACATAATGATATATTGGCAAGTACTAATATCTATTAATGGTACATGGGCAAATGTTGAGAAAATGTGAGAAGTAAAATTCAACAAGTGCTCTCCAGCTCGAAGATTCAACCTCACCTTCCAGTGGGAAGAAAGTCCCCAAGGGCAAAAATCAACCCAAAAGCCACAACAGCAACTCCTACTCCAATCTGTACAGTTCCATGATGTTGCTATTCTTAACCCATAATTAAGTGAAGAGAAACACGCCCTTATGGAATTATACATAAGTCAAGAATGCTACCTTAGTACCTAGTCCAACTGTCCTACTTTTGGTCTCAACTGGAGTATCATAATCAATTGCTGCAAACTGCTTATCTTCCTCAGCTTTTTTCTGCTCCAGTGCTGACCTAACCAAGTAATGGGAGCAATGGTAAAACTGAACATTTAAAAGTGTGACTTTATTGTTCTCAGTGCCATTCTAATTACTAAAAAGATGAACTGAATTGCAAGGACACCTTCTAATTGCTTGCAGTCGTTCCTCAAACTGAACATCAGACACACTGTTTGTTAACTTCAACACATTGTTTTGGGAATTTAGAACAGGTGCTTCTGCAAGTGGGAAAAATAACGCCTTGAAAACATAGTACAATTCAACCAGGAACCCTAGAGTCTGTGAGACATCCATAGCCCCAACGAAAATGGAGTAATGAATAACCACTTACTAGTAAGGTTGGTGCCAGTTCTTTGAGAGTGAAATTTCCTGCCATAAATTTTTTTTATTGCACAGAATATTTATCTGCTCTAGGAATAGCCCTTTCCCTAAATATGACTAGTAATAATAAATCTCTCTCTTTTGAGAAGAATTAGGAAAACCTCAAATCACACAAACAAACACAAACACACAAACACACACACACACACACAGAGAAGTGCGCAGGAAGGAGAAGTACCTAGAGTCCCTTCCGCCAGTTGAAGATTTCTTCTTGACCTAAAGGCCGCCGATAAGCCCAGCTTTACGAAATTAGATAGCAGTAGGACGTCTTCTTCCATTTATACAAGGAATAAAGCTGAGGAGAATACTTGATTGAGACATACATACCTTGGATTCATCAGTGCCAAACCCACGGTTGGGTGAACTGGAGCAGCAGCTTGTTCGCGGAAAAGTTGAATTGCGCTTGCTGATGAGCGAGGAGTGGTTACTGTTAGCGAAGGCGGAAGGAGAAGCAGACGGGCACGGAAAATGTGGCCGGCGGAGGCTACTCAGCCAGGGGCGGCGTGTGGAAGAAGAAGCAGCAGAATGAACGGTTACTACCATTGCAACCCCCATCTCTTTCCTCCCTCCCTCTCGTGTCCGTTTGCAATACACCGGTGCAAACGCCCTTCTTGCCCGCCCAGCCGGCTGATATCTACAACCTTTAATATATTTAAGGCTGTTTGTTTCAGCCTCTTAATAGTTCAGATGTCTGAATAGTTCAGCACTTAATGGTTCAAACTGTTTGTTTCAGCCTCTTAATGGTTCAGATATCTGAATGGTTAAGAGATTTGCCTCTGAATGCTTAAGTATTATACAGAGTCTGAATGGTTAAGACCTCTTATCTGAATTGATCAGACATTTGCCTCTGAATAGTTAAGCAATATACTAGCTCTTAATGGTTCAGACCTCTTACTGGTTCAACACTTAATGGTTCAGACCTCTTACTGGTTCAGCACTTACCGATTCAGAGGTTGCCAAACAGCCCTAGGTGGACATGGGAGTTACTTTTAGCTTATCCAGGTCAATAGGTCCGCCCATATTCATCAAAAATATTACTTTATTATTAATTATCTAGCTAATATAATTTTGAAAATTATTATAGTTCATGAATAATGGTTCAATTCATTCACCTCTCTTAAACAAAAATCAATTTTCTTTTAATAAATTAGTATGATGGGTTTATTAATTATGCAACAATACCACTCTTATGCTTTCATTGTAAATTTGAGGAGTGGTGATTTTATTTTAAACATTGAAAAAAGAGTTCAATGTTTTTTTTTGGATTTTTTGTGCAAAAAAAGTTTTCTTGGTGTTTTATCCGGGCCGGGCAGCCCGGTGGGTAGTTCGGCCCGCTAAGGTGGGCGGGTATGGATAAAGAGTTTAGCCCATCAAATTCGGGCTGGGCTAGACCCGCCCATGTAAATGAGCTAATAATTTGTATCCAGCTCGGCCCAGATCCTTATTTGCACAAGTCTAGTTTGCAACCACCATCTCTTTCGGGTGGATCAGATAACCCGATGGGATGACCTCGGGCGGTCTGCTGTAGTTCTTCATTTTGACTTTGAAGTTGATGGGTAATAACCCATGGATACCACCCGGTTGGTTCGCCCCGACTGGGTGGTGATTCAAGTGACAGCACGCACCCTTCTCAGCCCGGGTTATTTCACCGGGTAGATGGGAAGGCCGGACGCCAATAACAGAAGACCTATTTTCCGAAGTACACCTGGTTGACTGGTCAGCCGCCTGACCGGCTGGATAATCAGAGACGTGCTTGACGTGCTTAGGATTATTATAAATACCCCTAAAAGCCTCATTTGTGAGGCATGTTTTAATTAATCCACACGGCTTGTACTTTGTAATAGCTCCTATTATCAATAATAACAAACCGGGTTACAGGTGTTTCCACCTACAACCCTCCCGATTACTTATACTTAATATTTGCGTGGTAATTTACACCATCAAATTGGCGCCATCCGTGGGACCTATTACAAAAAGTCATGACAAGCAATCAGGAAACGGTCATCTCACAAATCTCTACTCCCGTTGAGAACGTCGCCTCGTTCCCAGGAGGGAGTGCACAACCTTCAAATCAGATTCCTACCCCCATCATCACCATTGCAACACCTACTCCATTCACTTCCCCCGTCACCTCTATCCCTATTTTTTCTCCAAATTTTCCCGGGCCCGTGGACCCACTGTTTTCACAGGCATTCCAAAATTTTGGGCAGTTCATGTCCATGTTTCAACAGCCGGGAGGATTTTCACCTTTCATTCCCGGGTTATACCCACAATCCTTGCCCCAAACTAATATCATCCGCCCGGTCGCTCCAACAAATCTGATCGGAGAGATGGACAAAGCCGGTCCATCCCGGTCCAGAAGGAGTCGGTCCCGAAGGTCACGCACGCAGATCACGCCTGATGGCGATGTGCGATCAGTCCAAAGCAGGGATGAGGATTGGGATGTACCCCAGGCACAAAAGAAGCTGAAGGGAAAAGCTATTCAACCTGAAGGGTCCAGGAGGTCAGCATTTCAAAGGCTTGGCCATGAGGGCAGAAATCAAAACCGGCCTGCTAAAGAACGACTAGGGGTGGAAACAACCCCGTTGAGTGCTTTTGATCGCATGGGTAGAGGGGCCGAGCGACCTGGTCGGACCAGGCGCACGGAACCTCCCCACCGCGAAGAGCCCCAACATAGCCGGGCACCCCATGGAGAAGAAGAAGCAGAGAGGCACTCTAGGCACACGATCCGCTCCAATGTTGAACAACCCCGGGATCGTGTGGGCCGGGTCGAAGCACGTTTAGAGAAGCTGCAGCGCCGGGTGGACCGGGATGAAAAGAAGAAAATCCTGTTGAACGAATCTCCGTTCACAGACCGGGTTCACGAGACCCCATTTCCGAAGAAAGCAAAGTTGGAGGTCCCGAAGTTTACCGGGAAGGAGGACCCGGAAATAGATGTCAAAACCCTACATCAAAGTGGAAGGATGATGGGCCTTTCCGGGGACGAAAAATGTTTACTGTTCTTCCAAACCCTCCGCGGCCGAGCCGCTGAGTGGTTTCATAACCTACTGGCCGGTGAGATCGATTCTTTCGATGAGCTGGCCGAGGTGTTCCAAGAGAAGTTCAAGGAAAACTGCACCAAGAGGAAAAAGTTCACCTACTTGAGCACGGCCGGACAGAGGGAGCACGAGGATTTAACGAAATTCCTCACCCGGTGGAAGGATGAAGTTGATAAAGTTGAGGAAATGGACGACAAAACCGCCATGTCCCTCCTGGTGTCCGGACTCCGGTCCGGAGAATTGTATAAAGAATTCTGCAGGAGACCTCCCAAATCCTACCAAGAGGCCTACAACACAGCCTGGGATTATGCTGACGCCGAAGCACAGGTGTCATCCAAGAGGGAGGCCGAGCAGGGCCATTCCAAAGGAAAAATTTCCTTGAAAAAGGAAATTAAACAGCCCGGGAGGGCGAAGGCGGAAGTCATGGAGGTGAAACCAGTCAAAACAGAAAAGAAACCGGACGGCGAAAAGCAATGGACGGAGAAGTATTGCTCTTTCCATAAAACTGACTCCCATAACACTGCGGAATGCAATAGTGTGAAGGGGGTAATCAAGCAGATGATTGAAGCCGGCGAGCTCGACCCAGAGTATCTGGCTCAATCAAAACAAAAGAAAAATCAATGGATCAGGCCTGAAGGGAAGCCGGTCGAACAGAATAAGAAGAATAAAGCACCCGGTAAAGAGCATTTGCAGGTCATCTACGGTGGGCCAGAAGGAGGAGATTCCGCATCTCAAAGGAAGAAGTGGGGACGGGAGCTCTATGTTGGCACGGTTGCCCTAGATCCCCGAAGGAAACAAACCAGAAGGGAACCAATCACGTTTACTGACCGAGACTTCCCCGCTACCGGAGAAGATCACAATGACCCCCTGGTCATAACTATGGACATGGGTGAAGTCAATGTCTCCCGGGTACTCGTTGACATGGGTAGTAGTGTCAACGTTTTGTACTTGGATGCATTTGAAAAGCTCAAGTTGTGTCGGACACGGCTTGAGCCCTTAAAGACTCCCCTGTCCGGGTTCACCGGGGACTCTGTTGAAGCTGAAGGGTCAATCCTTCTGACTTGTGGTAGTGAACATCAAATGTGTTCACAACGCCATCCTAGGCCGGCCTGGAATAAAAAGGTCCATGGAGTCATCTCCATGGCCCACCTCTGCATGAAGTTCTATACCCCGGGTGGTATCGGACAAGTGAGAGGAGACCAAAAGAAGGCCCGATATTGTTACTTGGAGGCCGTAAAGAAAATGACCAAGGCATTTGAGAAGGTTACCTTGGTTCCCAAGAAGAAGAGCGGTTAAAACTGGAGCCGTGTGATGAGACCGAGCAGATTGTTCTCCGGGAGGTTTTCCCGGAAAGGATGGTGCGAATTGGTTGGGATCTGCCCGGGGGACTTCGAGAAGAAATCATCTCAGTCCTTCGGGAATATGCAGAGATTTTCGCCTGGAGTGTGGCGGACATGCCAGGCATAGACCGTTTTGTCATATGCCACCGTTTGGCTGTGATGGAAGGTAGCCGGCTTGTGAAGCAGAAGAAAAGGCACTTGGCAAGCGCCCGAAGGGACTTTGTGAAGAAAGAAGTGAAGAATTTGCAGGCGGTCGGGCACATAAGAGAAGTACAATACCCGGCCTGGTTGGCAAACGTCGTCCTGGCACCAAAAGGTGACACCTGGCGCATGTGCGTGGACTACACGGACTTGAACAAGGCGTGCCCCATGGATTCATACCTGTTGCCCAGTCCCGATCAGATGGTCGATGAGACGGCCGGGTGTGAATTGCTCAGTTTCATGGACGCCTTCAAAGGCTATCATCAGATCTTCATGGCCGAGGGAGACGAAGAGAAAACCTCTTTCTTAATTCCTGAAGGCACTTATTGCTACCGGGTGATGGCCTTTGGACTGAAGAACTCGGGCGCCACTTATCAGAGGATGGTAAACCGGCTTTTTAAGCCACTCCTCGGTAAGTCCATGGAGGCCTATGTAGATGACATACTGATCAAGAGCCCGGGTGCGGAAAGCCACCCGGCCGACATGAGGCTCTGCTTTGAGATTATGGCTAAGTACAACTTGCGCCTTAACCCCAAGAAATGCGTCTTTGCTGTAAAGACCGGCAAGTTTCTGGGGTTCATGGTTACCAAGCGTGGTATTGAGCCTAATCCTGAGAAGATTAAAGCCATAACCGAGATGAGATCGCCCAGTTCATTAAAGGACGTGCAACGACTGACCGGGCGGTTGGCGGCTTTGAGTCGTTTTTTCTCCCGTTCCGCCGAGAAGGCTCTACCTTTCTTCAATGTTCTGGAGAAGGCAAATGCGTTCGAGTGGGACCGGGAGTGCGAGGAAGCTTTCCAGCAGCTGAAAGAGTACTTAGTTTCTGATATAGTTCTGTCCAAACCCAAACCGGGTGAGACTTTGTACTTGTATCTAGGAATTTCCCAAAACGCTGTAAGCTCTGTCTTGATAAGAAATGAAGACGGCCAAAGGCCTATTTACTATGTGAGCAAAGCACTTAATGGGGCAGAGAGCCGGTACACGGCCATTGAAAAAACAGCTTACGCGCTTTTCATAACGGCCAAGAAACTGACCGCGTATTTCCAAGCCCACACTGTGGAAGTACTAACCGATCAGCCACTTGGACCGGTCCTTCGAAATTCAACCTCCTCAGGAAGATTGATTAAGTGGGCGATGATGCTCACCCAGTTCAAAATAGAGTATAAACCAAGGGTCAAGCTTTGGCAGACTTCCTCGTTGAACTGACCGGTTTAGAGCCCGAAGCCGGACCTTCCCATACGGTCGAACCATGGTGGGATATAGCCGTTGATGGGGCCTCTGGACCGAAGGGATGCGGAGCCGGCGTAGTCTTCACTACCCCGGAAGGATTCAAGATCTACCATGCCCTAATTTTTAACTTCAAACTCACCAACGATGAGGCGGAGTATGAGGCGCTGACCGGTGGTCTCAGATTAGCCCGGGCGCTCGGAATAAAAAGGATGAAGATCCGTTCCGATTCAAGTCTGGTCGTCGGACAGGTCAATGGTGAGATGGAAGTTAAAGAAGATCGCCTGGCCCGATATAGTGACCTGGTCCGAGCGCTCCTAAGGGAGTTGGAAGAGTTTCGTCTGACCAGGATACCCTGGTCAGAAAACACTGATGCAGATATGCTTTCAAAGTTGACGCAAGCTTGCCCGGAGCATGTGTCAAAGTTGGCAAAAATTGAGATACTGGACGTGCCGAGCGCAGACCGGTTTGAAGTGGCGGCTATCCAACCGGGCCAGACTTCAGCAACCGGGATAATCGGACCAGATGATGACTGGAGGTACGATCTCATGGAGTATCTGGAGACTGGTCAGAAACCAGATGACGAGGAACGGGCCAGGAAGGTGGTCCTGCGGGCCCCTCGTTTTTAGGTAATCGATGGTCACCTGTACAAGCGAGCCATTGGCGGACCTCTCCTACGCTGCCTTACCAACCCGGAGGCTGAACGGGTAATAGCTGAGGTACATGAGGGGGTTTGTGCAGCCCATCAAATGTCCCACACTTTGGCTCAAAGGATAATATTGCTTGGCTACTACTGGCCGACCATTGTTGGGGACTGTGAGCGGTATGTCCAGAGATGTAGAACGTGCCAGGTTTTTTACAAACATCCCGGCAGACCGGCCACATATTACCAACAAACATCTAATGTCATACCATTTGCCCGATTTGGGATTGACATTATTGGAGCCTTCCCTGTTGCCCAAGGCGGCAAGAAGTTTGTGATGGTGGCTATTGATTACTTCACTAAATGGATCGAGGCTGAGACAATGGCTACAATAACCGTACGGCAGTGTGAGAAATTTGTTTGGAAAAACATTATCACCCGGTTTGGTTCCCCAAAGATCATCGTCACCGACAACGGCCCGCAGTTTCGCAACCCCCGGTTCACTGCGTACCTTGCTAGCTTCGACATCAAGCATAGCAAGGCATCGGTAGCATATCCACAGGGAAATGGCCAAGTCGAAAACGCTCCGGACAATTGTGGACGGTCTAAAAAGAGACTGGGTGAGGAAGGACACAAGTGGTTGGAAGCCTTACCTCATACGGTCTGGGCGCATAGAGTGACTTCAAGGAGAGCAACTGGAGAGACTCCTTTCGTGCTCACCTACGGATGTGAAGCCCGGCTACCAGTAGAGGCAGAAATTCCAACATTTAGAGAAACCGTGTACCAGCCCGATCAGAATGAGGTCAACCACCTAGTTGAATTGAACCTGGTGGAAGAACGAAGGACAATAGCAGCTGTCAAGATGGCCGGTTACCAGCAGTCAGTAAAGAGGTATCATGACAACCGGGTGGGCCCACGATACTTCCAAGTGCACGACGAAGTTTTACGTAGGAGGGATGCTAGTAAGCCTAACGAGAGGGGCAAGCTGGTGCGTAACTGGGAAGGGCCCTACCGCGTAAAAGCAATCGTCAGACCGGGCACTTATCAACTGGAGACTATGGAAGGTGGCCGGGTCGACCGACATTGGAACTCTCACCACTTGCGTAAATTTTCTAGATAAAGTATAATAAGTTCCCGGTCGTTAATAAAACTTCATTCTTTTCAGAAAGATTGTTCTCATACATCAACCGATAATTGGTCACATACCAATCTGCCTGGTTAGATATCCAATCGAATTGGGATCGCCAAAAAAAATAAAAAAAGAAGAGAGAAGAAGGCCAGGGGAGTCAGATTCCCGGGAATGGAGGGACCGGTTCCTCGTCATGCAGATCGGGCAAAGATAGAGCCTTGGGACGAAATCCTTGGATTCGCTGCTCTAGGATGCCATAAAGGGCCTGCCGCTCTGTGTACTGACCGCTCTCGTAGCCAAAGGTGCCGATCTCATCCACGATCCCGGCCAACACCTTGTGTTTGTACAGGCCTTGGAAGAAGCGGATGGCGGTCTCCCGGTCAAGAAGCGCTTGGGCAGCAAACTCCTCAGGCGCCTGAACAGCCAAGGCGGCAGCCAGAGGAGCCCTTTCTGAGCGCTCTTTCTACAGCTCATCTCCAAGCCAGGCGATCTCCTCAGCCGACCGAGCATTTTCAGCCTCCAGGAGCTGGATCTTGGCCTGGGCTTGCTCATCGGCCTCTTTCGCGGCCTTCAACAGTCCATCATGCTTGGCATAAAGTTGACGGTAGACCGCGCAGTGCTCTGTCCATTTTGCCTCTATCTTCTCTGCCTTGGCCCGGGCAGCCTGGGCTTCCTTCCGACATTTGACCATCATGGCCTCCATCCGGGCCTTCTCCTCATCTTTTGACTTCACAAGCCGGGCGAAGTACTCCTCCCCAATCCGGCCGACCTGCTTTAAAGACGTGGAAAACTTTTCAGACCAGTGTCAAAAACAATAAGAGGACGGTGAGAAGGGAGAAAAAGGCATTACCTCATTCAAATCGGATCGGAACGCTCGGAAGAGCTCCTCGTCTGACATGGACATCAAAGCTAGGGACCGAGGCACGATTGGCCCTTTGCCGGCGTCGGAGGACTGGGCCCCCTGGTGGGATGGCTGGTTGACCTCCTCAGTCTTCCGCCTCATCCGTTGAAGGGACTCCCCAGCAGCCTCTTCCTCGGCTTCGCCTTCCTCGTTGGGTTGGCCTGCCAACCCGGCCTGGGATGTATGCCCGGTCTCCCCCATCAGGGTGTCGAACTCGAAGGTATCTACATTAATGTAGAGTTCCCCTGAGTGAATGGGCTGGTTGGTCCCCTGATGGGATTGGGCCGGTTGCTCTTCTAGTAAGAGGGGTTGGCTGGATGGAGGGTTGAGTGGCTGAGCAGTGGAGGGCTCCTCAACCACTATCTGAGGAATGGCGAACTTGGACTGGAACTTCACCACTGCAAGAAAAAACACCGGTTAGAAGAATAGCGATAAAAAAAGGAAAGATGGAAGGAAAATAAGGGTAGCTGATTGACCTTTCTCTTTCTTCTTCTTCGCCGGGCGTGAAGGACCGACGGTGGCTGTGGCCAGTGCTTTGGATCCCCTCACCCGACGGATGGGGATGGCTTCGGGGATTGCCCCGGCAAGGACAATCTCCGGCTCAGGATCAGTCTCCCGGCCGGGATAGACACTCCACTTCCCTACATGGTACAGGCTACGGGTGGAGGCATCCCCGGCCCGGAGAGTGGCTTCCCAAGCAGCCAGGTCATCGGCCTCCGCTGGTTTGACTTGGCGCTTCATTCTCTTCCCCCAGACATTCTGGGCAAAAGGAAAAGAGGCCGGGGGGAATTTGATGGACACGTATTTGTCCTTCCACTTCTTGTTAGAAGGAGGAAGGCCACAGAGGAATGCCCGCCCTTGATGAGAAGACACTACCACAAATCCAAGGGTTTCCTTGGACCCGGGCCGGACATCGAACATATGGTCGAAGAGACGAAGGGAGAGAGGAATACGAAGAAACCGGCAGACATTGATGAAACTGCCTAATAGACGGTGACCATTAGGGGCCAGCTGCCCGGGCATGATACCGTATGTCTCAAGGAAAAGGACTTTGAATGGGTGAATAGAGAATTCACCCAGGTCCTTGATGGAATGGTAATGGATACCAATCGACGTACCGACATGGAGAGAAATAATGCTCTTCCACGTTGCCCGGTAGGTCAATTGGTACCCGTCCGGCATCAGGTTGCGCACCTCGTGGATTTGGGCCTTCTGCATGACCGACGATTGCGTTTGGAGCAACCGGTCGTCCAGCTGAATAAAGCCCTCATCCCCGGGTTGGGCAACCGAGGCCACTTGCGCCACGGAAGAAGAAGGAGCGCAAGTGGAATCATCAACCGGCTTCTTCTGTGGAGAAGTAGCCGGGTGCTCAGAATCAGAGGATGAAGAAGAAGAGGAACCGGAAGTCTGAGACCGGTCACCAGAACCGTAAGAATGGACGGAAGGGTTCTGGCTGTCTTCGCGGTCAGACATGACTCAAAGAAGAGGAAAGAAAGAGACTAACTTTGAATAAGAGGACTCGGAGGACTCGTGAAGAAGCAGAAGCAGCCGGACAGTTTGTTAATTGAAGATTTGCAAGTGAGGAAATTCTAAAAAGAACCTCGCTTTAAATAGGAGAGATGCCGCCCAGACGGACGAACGAAAGAATGACACGTGGCAGCTGAAATGATTTGCCATCATAACCTCTCGGGGAGACGAAACGGCACAATAAATCGGCGGCTCCATACCCGACTTCGAGAAGATTCTCCCGCTTTGGACACCCGGTTTTTGAAATTTCAAAATTCAAATTTCAAATTTCAAATATTTTGGGTTGGCGATGGTTTTCCGAGACGATTTTCCCGCCAAAAAGCAACTGGGCAGTCCAAATTTCAAGGGATGGTCGCATATGCTTCCCGCCCCTGATGGTCCCCACAAGACCGGGAATCGGAGGACTCCTTGATGGGTAATAACCCATGGATACCACCCGGTTGGTTGGCCCCGACTGGGTGGTGATTCAAGTGACAGCACGCACCCTTCTCAGCTCGGGTTATTTCACCGGGTAGATGGGAAGGCCGGACGCCAATAACAGAAGACCTATTTTCCGAAGTACACCTGGTTGACCGGTCAGCCGCCTGACCGGCTGGATAATCAGAGACGTGCTTGACGTGCTTAAGATTATTATAAATACCCCTAAAAGCCTCATTTGTGAGGCATGCTTTAATTAATCCACACGGCTTGTACTTTGTAATAGCTCCTATTATCAATAATAACAAACCGGGTTACAGGTGTTTCCACCTACAACCCTCCATATTACTTATACTTAATATTTGCGTGGTAATTTACACCATCAGGAGTGCAATTGAAAGGGGTGGAGGTGTGTTCGGGTCGGGGCGGGTGAGAGGTTTATCGGAGGGATTAGAGGGGTAGGAATTGTCAATTTTACCCAAGATACACCAGATCGCCCTCAGATCATCCCATGACATTGCCGAGCAATGTCAATGGAACCGTCTCGGATAACATTTATCATCTATGTTTGGATAGAGTGCATCTTTACATAAAATTGGATCAAGTTTTGATTAAATAAAAAATGAAGAAAGTTGATACTCCCTCCGTCCCAGAGTATTCGTCCAGTTTTGACTTTTGGAACTGTTCATTTAAGCACTTGACAGTTGTAGTTTTTCGGGTAGTAAACCTTCCCAACAAAGGGTTAGTTTTCTCTCCGAGTGTCGTATCTCTCGTGGAGTGGACGAAGGGAATTAGTTTAATTACTCTAATTAGGCGAAGATTAGGATTGGTTTATGAAAGTCTTCTCGAAACGAATAAAAAGGGAGCAGAGTAAAAATAATAAATTTAGTTTACATAGTATAAGTATAGATCTAGACCTAGGGTCTGGACATCATTTGGATCTATTTTATCATATTAAATTAACAATTGGAATAATAATATTTCTATTACTACTCATCCATTTCTAGATTTGTACTTAATCCGTTGTTCTTGAATATCGTAGCCTTTTGGCATACAATATTTTCTCAATAAATAGCTAATTAAATTTTTCGAGTTTAATTAACCAAATAAGGCAAGAACAATAGATTAACCATTCCAACATAAATTTAACATCAAAAATAAACAACAAAACTAGTCCGGACCCAGAGATCCGGACCCTAACTCATACTATGCAAACATAAATTAAAACAGCATTTTATTAAATAAAGAGAACTTACAACTTCCGTAAAAGCGGAACAGAACTGATCGGGAGTAGAATTCCTCCAAAAATACTTAGAAATAATAACTAAACTAATATATTATGAAATATTGACTAAAATAGTGGAGAAACCCGAAATGGGTTGAGAGATGGTGTGGAATGAATGAGAGGAACGCTGTATTTATAGGGCAGGAAGTACGGGCGTCCAACTCCCTGGGCGTCCAACTTTGGACGCCCGTACCCAAAATACGTGTTCCGTCCAGTCGCGTTGTGCCGCGTGGCAAGGCCGTGTCACCAGATAGCTTGGGCGTCCAGCCTCTTCGGGCGTCCAACTTTGGACGCCCAGGACCAAAATCCAGCGCCCAATCTGCTTCCAATTGCGGTTTCTCGTGATTTTGGGCCCAAAGTTGTTCCGCATCGGCCCAATTGGCTCCCAGACACTGGTTTCTACCACCAAAGTATTATGATCTTTAAAATCTAAAACTTTTTATCCAATTTGTACATAAAATTGACAAATCCACTTAATTTAATTTAGAACCTGTATTTTATTCTTCTTGAGACAAAACATCAGTTTTGTCACTAGTAGACACTTTCAATGGGTAAATTTATTACTATTTTCATGCAATAACGCTTAAAATATGTAGAATAAAATAAGAACAAAATGAACTTATCAAATTCCTCACACTTAAACGTTGCTTGCCCTCAAGCAACAAATTAAATAAGTTAAGTATGAAAACAAATTAGTAATCACAAAAGAAAAGTTTAAGTTACACAACTTGAAGGAAAGGAAGGATAAGATGGTCATCAACGTTTTTATGTGAACAAATAAATTTATAGATTCTCACCCATATTGCTAGAAATTTGAAAATACTTTGTCAAACCAGTTTTCTTACCCAATTAAATCAAACTAAACTCTAAATTTTCATTGGGATAATCATATTTCTAAGTATTATTTTTAAATCAAAAAGAGTTTAAAAGCTCTAAAAAATGGATTTCCAAAAAGGTTTTCGTCAAACAATAAGAGCCTATTTATTTTATTAAGCATTATTTATCATGAGAGAATTCTCTAAATGCCAAGGCATATTGCATTACTGAGATTGTGGATTTATTCTATGACAAATGCATACTTGCTCCCTGGCCTTATGCGATTAGCGGGAGAAGCAGAGCCCCTTTACGGAGATAGAATTTCCAATTCGTCACTTAAGCGCAATCCCAATAAAATTTAAACCATTAGAATATTTTTTATATAAACCCTTATATTTAAAAAAAACCTTTATGAGAAATGACATTTTTAAAGAGGCTATTTAAAACTTGATTGATCTAAAAAAACTTAGAAAATACTAATGTATCCCAAATGATTTTAGAAATCGTTTGAATAAAAAATTAGGGACAAGAATAAAAGTTTGACAAAATATTTAAAAATTCCCAGTTTTTATGGGTGATAACTAAAAACTTAATTATTTAAACAAAAGAGTTGATGACCATACTTATAAAATCTTTACCTACAAATATGCAAACCAAACAATTCTAACCCGGAATATTTCAACCAATAATTCACATCCTCCTCACACTTGAACGGAACCGCGTCCTCGCGGCAAAAAAAGTGTTTCAGAGTAGAATTTTTGGTTGAAATACCAAGGATATGATGACTAAGATGGTTGCATATGTAACATATTCAAAATGATGANCTGCATAAGTGTGTTCTGGTTCTGTAAGAGCTGCTGGGCCCATGCCGGTGCTACCTCCGTCTGAGCGCGAGCCAACTGTGCTCTGGTAGGTCGTCGACGAGGAAGGCGCTGAGACGATCTCTCTGACTGACCGGATGACTCTCCAATCTCATGTGAAGTGCGGCCAGTAGAGGCCGTAGTGCTCTCGGAAGAGCTAGGAAAGAGTCTCCGGTGGATGTGAGCATTCCGGAGCATGCCGGCATCTAAATCCCTCATCAACTGCACAGGCCGTGGGATGGGTGCGTCCCCCACGAGGGAGCGAAAGAGCAAAGTAATCACAAACCCACAAACCAAGTGCGTTCTGCAACCGTAGGACTGGGAGTATAAGAATCTGGCAAGGTACACAGCCACGTTCGCTGGCTGGCGGTCGTGCAAGCTCCAGAAGACAAACATATCTTCCTCATAGACCCTATCAGTGTTCGACGGCCTCCCAAAGAAGGATGTCGAAAGAACAAAAGATAGGATCCTCCAGCTGGGCCGAATCCAGTAGCGTGCCTTACTCTTCTTGTTCACGAACTCCTTGTCGTCAGATGAGTGCTCCCCCTAGAAAGCTATAGCATCAAAATCTGCGGGAAGACAAAAGGGATCGTCGTAGAACTCAGGCTGCTCGGTCTCCTCCTGGGTGTAGATCCCGAGACGAATAGCCATCTCTCTCACTGTCAACTGAAACGACTGGCCCGCAAGAGTGAAGGCAAACGTGGTATCAGCAGTGATCAAACTACGAGTCATCTGTCGTGACTCAATCTCCGGGACAGCAGATATCGAGCATAAGAACTCGATGGTCAGTGGTAGGCTAGACTCTGCCCTCATCTTAAGCAGGTGCTGCCATCTGGTCCCCTCAAGCAGCTCCTCCATCTCCTCTGCATAGCCATAGTCCGTCAGTGTATCCTGAGCCAGACACACCGACTCGTGTAACACCCGTGAGTGTCCCCACTCATCGAACCTCGTCCTAGAAGCAACATCAATCAGTTGGACCTCATTACGGCCCACAGTAGGGTAAGAAGGACGATGAGGCATCTGCATACACATAAACAAACACATAAAATCTTGCCCCCAAAACTGGTGCGGCAAGTAGAAACTCAAGAACAACAAATAAAATTATTGAATTTAAATATTTTAGTTATTTGAATGACGGGTTGCCTCCCGTTAAGCGCTTCTTTAACGTCCGTAGCTCGACGCTCACCCACTTTTTCCGCGACTTTCCGATCCGAGAGTCATAAAGTTTGGCCCTTCTGACTCTCTTCTGATGCCACCTTGTTTGATATTTTGCTTGGTCAAGGTCCAGGATCCTTGACTCGTCCCTGCGGCTTGGCGGCAACAGGATAAAAGGAGGAGACTCTAGATAGGTGGGTGGTGGCGGAAGTCTCCTCAGTTGATCCACATCATTAGCTTTGATTGTGAAATTGATTCCTTCCTTATCTTCAATAGGCTGACTATCCATTTGTGGTTTGATGATTACGACCGTGCTTTCCCCCATGGATGAGTCTTCGGCGTCACTTACCAGAAGTTCATCCCAACTCTTTTGGCTCCAACTATCCTCCGGGCAAACCAAGTTACACCCGTCATGTAAGGAGTCAAATAAAGTTTGGTCTGAATATACTGGTGAAGCATTATTTGCACAGGTTTCTATAGACGAAGTTGGGTTTTCCATGCACAATATTTCCTCATCAATAGATTCCTCCTCAGACTCTTGGATATTGGAATCTTGGGGGCAGGTAATGGGCTCTATCTCCTCCAAAACAGGTTCCTTTGGAGGTGTGTCTTCAGCACAATTAAGGAGATGGTCGTTTATTGCCGTAAGCAAAACTTCCTCCTCCTTTTCTTGAATGAGCGTAAGTGGTTCTGAGTCAGGTCCCTCAGTTGGTTCCACCTCATGTACGACTATGCTGGTTAGGACTTGGCTAAGAGGGTATTCAGGTAATATCACCACAGTAGCCCTAGCAAGAGTTGTTATGCTCTCGGGTTTCTGTGATGGTGTAGAACTTGGTGAATCTTCTAGAACTGGAACCTCTTGGTTGATGGGTTTAGGGTTGGTCTTAGGTTCTAGAGCCTCTTTTTGAACATTAATCTCCCTCATTTGATCTTGAGATTGGAGGGAGCGTTTAAGTTCAACAGCCTTGCAGAGATCATTGACTAATTTATCCGCTTTAGCCTCAGCTTCTAGTCTCTCTCTTTGGAAGTCATCCAGCATTTTCTGCATCAATTCTGATCCTTCGCATAATCTACTTTCGAACTCCTTTTCCTTCCGGACTGATTCAAGAAGTTTTGCTCTTTCTCGAATTGCCACCTTGTTTGCTTCAATTTGTTCTTCAGCAAACAAAGTGTAGTCACGGGAGTAGGGTGGTTCGTACCAGGAGCCTTCAGCGAATAGAACTTCGTCGAAATAGAAAATTTTCTGTTCTAATCTAATGATCTCTTCGACGAGTGGATCAGATTGATCGTCGCACATAGGCCCAGATTGGTCATAGTCATCGTTATCTCCATGAGGTTCATAATAATTATCCCCATTAGAATCTTGGTATGGAGAATATCCAAAGTTCCCAGATGGGGTATCATATGGTGGTTTCTCATGGTAGGGATAGTAGTCAGACCCATTGTTGACTTGGTAGTCATCATCGTATGGGTTCTGATGCGGGTGGTAAGGTGGATGGGTTTGAAACGGAGGGCGGTTAGGTGATTCGTAGTAAGAAGGCGGGCCGTAATAACCACTGGAGTTATCCATAATAATTATTACGGGTGGCTGGTGAAAAAGAAGTGAGAAGATCGTTCTAACCAATCTTCACCCAAGCTAATCAGAAGAAATTAAACTAATGCCGTGCCACTCCTCGGCAACGGCGCCATTTGACAGTTGTAGTTTTTCGGGTAGTAAACCTTCCCAACAAAGGGTTAGTTTTCTCTTCGAGTGTCGTATCTCTTGTGGAGTGGACGAAGGGAATTAGTTTAATTACTCTAATTAGGCAAAGATTAGGATTCGTTTATGAAAGTCTTCTCGAAACGAATAAAAAGGGAGCAGAGTAAAAATAATAAATTTAATTTACATAGTATAAGTATAGATCTGGACCTAGGGTCTGGACATCATTTGGATCTATTTTATCATATTAAATTAACAATTGGAATAATAATATTTCTATTACTACTCATCCATTTCTAGATTTGTACTTAATCCGTTGTTCTTGAATATCGTAGTCTTTTGGCATACAATATTTTCTCAATAAATAGCTAATTAAATCTTTCGAGTTTAATTAACCAAATAAGGCAAGAACAATAGATTAACCATTCCAACATAAATTTAACATCAAAAATAAACAACAAAACTAGTCCGGACCCAGAGATCCGGACCCTAACTCATACTATGCAAACATAAATTAAAACAGCATTTTATTAAATAAAGAGAACTTACAACTTCCGTAAAAGCGGAACAGAACTGATCGGGAGTAGAATTCCTCCAAAAATACTTAGAAATAATAACTAAACTAATATATAATGAAATATTGACTAAAATAGTGGAGAAACCCGAAATGGGTTGAGAGATGGTGCGGAATGAATGAGAGGAACGCTGTATTTATAGGGCAGGAAGTACGGGCGTCCAACTCCCTGGGCGTCCAACTTTGGACGCCCGTACCCAAAATACGTGTTCCGTCCAGTCGCGTTGTGCCGCGTGGCAAGGCCGTGTCACCAGATAGCTTGGGCGTCCAGCCTCTTCGGGCGTCCAACTTTGGACGCCTAGGACCAAAATCCAACGCCCAATCTGCTTCCAATTGCGGTTTCTCGTGATTTTGGGCCCAAAGTTGTTCCGCATCGGCCCAATTGGCTCCCAGACACTGGTTTCTACCTCCAAAGTATTATGATCTTTAAAATCTAAAACTTTTTATCCAATTTGTACATAAAATTGACAAATCCACTTAATTTAATTTAGAACCTGTATTTTATTCTTCTTGAGACAAAACATCAGTTTTGTCACTAGTAGACACTTTCAATGGGTAAATTTATTACTATTTTCGTGCAATAACGCTTAAAATATGTAGAATAAAATAAGAACAAAATGAACTTATCAANTTTCTACCTCCAAAGTATTATGATCTTTAAAATCTAAAACTTTTTATCCAATTTGTACATAAAATTGACAAATCCACTTAATTTAATTTAGAACCTGTATTTTATTCTTCTTGAGACAAAACATCAGTTTTGTCACTAGTAGACACTTTCAATGGGTAAATTTATTACTATTTTCGTGCAATAACGCTTAAAATATGTAGAATAAAATAAGAACAAAATGAACTTATCAGCACTTTGACTCATCAAATTCTCTCAATGTGTAAGCCTAAATATAGTTATGTGTGATTTTGTTTGATTTGTCTTAACATATAGATTATTAATATATAATTTCTATAATTTTTTAATATACAAATTACAAGATAAAATGGATTAAAGAAGTTTATTGGATGGTGTGTAAAAATGAAAGTGGACAAATACTCTGGGACGGAGGTAGTATATTTTTAATGTAAATATCTTTTACAATATAATGGCAAAGGGAAAAAATAAATAGTGACTTTTCCAGCCAAACGAAACCGAGTATGGAGGGGCGATGCAAAGTTCCAAACGAGTATGGGCATAGCAATGTTCACCTTATTGGAAAAAGTAACATCACCATTAATTTGCACTAAGGAATGTGACATTGATTGTTGAAAAAGCAAAATTCTCTCTTTAAATACAATCGCTCCTCTTCTTTCTCCTTGAATAACTAAAACATTGTTAAAACTACATACAGATTACAACGGACAGGGAAGATGAACGGTTCCGGAAGAGTATAAAGTATATTCCGAATTTATAAGTTATTCAGAATATTACAAAAAAAGCAAAAGCTGAAAAATGACTTTCTAGATCTTCAAATGTCCTTGTTGTACATGGACATTATGCACTCGACTGCGATAACATTATTATGCACTGGCTGTAGTAGTAAGTCTTGGACGAAGACACTGTGAGAGGTAGCGAGGTCACTCGAGCAGTGGCGAGGTCATTATGGCTAAAACGAGAATACCAGTGAAGACAATGCGGACTGGGGCAGAATGCAGCGAGGTCGTTATGAACTGAACCTGCAAAAATCAAAACACCGTGAAAGGACAGCGGAGTCGCCGGAGCTATCATTAAGCCTTAAGGTAGTAGTACCCGTCTACCGTACCGGAAAAACATGGGCACTCTCCTCCCAGGATAAAACCGTTATCGTGTGGTGATAGTATAGATCAACCACACACCAACGAAAAAGAACAACGTCAGAATGTTGGCAACCAAAAAATTTGAAGGGGATTGTTGGAAATTTAGCCAGAAAAACAAGAGCTCTCTCTAGGACTGTTCACGTTTAGGTCTAGACCGAAAAACCCGACCGAACCAAACCGTTAGGTCCAAACCAAACCTAGACCGAATAGATCTCGGGTCAATCTTGGGTTTAGAAAATTTAAGTGTTCGGGTTTCGGTCCGGTCTGGTCCAAACCCGAAATGATTTAGGTCCGGACCGATTGGACCGAATGGACCTACTAACCCTACTAGACCTAAATACTAAAACTCTACTTTTTTAAGTTTCGTATTACACTTTGTTGCTCTATTTTAATAGATATCTTAATTTACTTTATTAAAAATGTTTTTTATTAAGTAATTTTTTAAAAAAATAAAAAAAATTCATATTAGTTTTTATGATTCTACATAGAAGTAGTTCATATTGTGTATCCATTTTTAGGTTTCCAATTTTATTTTTCAATTTGAAGGTGCAAAGTAAAAAACCTAAAATATATTTAATTGATCAAAATAATTAAAAAATATGTTTTTTATTCGGTCCAGACTGGATCGTTTCTAAGTATTTCATTCTAGTCTGGTCCAAACCCAAATAGATTTAGGTCTGGTCTTCGGTCTGTGTCAGTGCAGTCTTGGACCGATGAACCGCCATAGCTTTCTCTATCAAAGAATATGGAAAAGTTTTTTCCCTTTTCTTTTCCCTCTCCCGTGTATATCTCACCAAAAAGTGGTGATCATGGAGCATCTTTCCTCCTTTTTATTAGGCTAGTAAGTTTGTAACTTCAATGTATTAAAGTACACTAATGATGGTCATTGGTACCTCTAGTCTTAGTGGCATGTTATGTTGGACATGAGTTCAAACTCTTTTATATATTCTGGAATATTTTTTCTGGTTTTGATAAATGACAAACAGGATGATTAAATTCAACGATGATCGAAAATTTATTTTTTGTATCGAGAAAAACAAAGAGGCGTATCAAGAAATTTGCACCGATAAAAATCAACGCTCACCCCTACGCAGAATTTTCGAAGTGAAGTGAAGATTCCGAAGGCTTTTATTTTTTATTGAGTCTAGAAATTTTTTGTAAGGATGACAATAATTTTTGCATAAACAAATTAATTTTTGAGGGACAAATTATTATTTTCTGAGTTAGTTGAAAAATCATTTTTCTCTGTCTAAAAATAATTTACTGAGTCAGTTTCAAAATAGTGTGTCAAAATTTCTTAAAAATATTTCTTAAGATACACAAATTTTTGTGGTAAGAAAAATATAATTTAAATATTTTTCATGTACACCATTTGACATACAAAATATTTTTGGACTCAATTTCTACATCAAAAATCATTTCGTAATTCAAATTTTGAATTTGAATTAATTCATTTTCAACCTATTTGATTTGTTTGTTTTTAGGAGCATTCTCATCCTGAAAACTTGTCTAAAACAAAATCAAAATCTCCAAATTGTACATCCCACTCGCACACATGTTTTGGGTCCTCATGTTTGTGCTTTATTCGTTAGGGGATCAATCCTTTCATTGGATCGATCACCGTGTGAGTGCCCTGGGAGTAGGATCAATCCATTCAATTAGATGGATCACTTTATTTTTGGTAGTTTTCATCGGTGGATCAATCATCATGCTTGGATTGATCCCCCATGAGTCTGACAAAAATTCATTCCCGAATTCTAACTCCTTTGGATCGATCCTCTGCCCTGGATCGATCTCCCGTGTTGTTGACAGAAATTAGCTTTCGACTTCTTACTTCAGGTGATTGATCCTCACCCCTGGATCGATCCCCAATGTTCACTTCTGTCAAAATCAGCTCTTCCCTACCTCCAACGGATTTTTTTTTTGAAATTTAGCTCCAACGGATTTATTTCTTTTTAACCCTATAAATTCCCTCATCCTCCATCAAAAACACATCTCTTGCACTCCAAACCTTCATTACTCAATATTCAACTCTTGCTTCTATGTTCCTCATCAAATATATTATTTTGAGAGTTAAGAAATATTTTTTTTGAGTGCTAAAGACATTGTCATCCATAGAGCTTTCATATTTCAACACTTCTTGCTCATTTGTGAGCTTCATTTTTTGTGTTGTAAAACTCATCTTGTTTGAGTTGTTCTTAAGACTTGTACGTGTGACTCAAGTCTTGTTGTTGTAAGAAGTTGAGGCTTGTGTGATTCAAGTTCTCAAGTTGTACTGGTTCTTCAAGCACCCGTTGAAGCTTGAAGATTAGTAGGACCTTTGAGAGAGTCTCTCGGAGGACTGGACTAGCCACGAGGTGGTGAACCAGTATAAATCTCGGTATTCTTCTTTCCCTTACTCTTTAAATTTATTCTTGCGATTTTTATTTCACACACGCAAAAATGCACATTCTTGAAAACAACTCTATTCACCCCCCCTCTAGAGTTGCACATTTGTCTAACATGTTAATGATATATCATTAACACACCCGTTACACTACGCCCCGTTTAAAATTTTTCCCGAATAATTGGAGATTAATGACCAATTAACTTCGTAAATAATAGACTAATTTTAAACAACACGTAAAGATAACAATAGAAGATTGGTTCGATAAAAATACAAAATTGCAATCTTTTCCACATTCTTGTATTAACGGGTTAACTCTGAGAATCAATTTCTCATTCACCCAGCCTCTACCATTTTCGGCTTATAAATTATCAAAATATTTATCTCATTTAAGAGAACATACGTATGCACATAATGAAGCAGCAAAAAGGGAGAGTTTATGGGAGGATTTGAAGGCTATAAATAATAACATTCCAGGACCTTGGTGTGTGATAGGTGATTTCAATTGTGTGCTGAATATGGAGGATAGAATTGGAGGACTACCAGTAGGAAATGAAGAAATTAAAGACTTTAAAGATTGTATGGACTACTGTGGGCTTGAAGAAATGCCAAGGGAAGGCTCATACTTTACCTGGTCAACAGACAAGGGCAAGGAAGGAGAATTTATTCCAAAATTGACAGGGCAATGTGTAATATGGATTGGATGCTGAATATGGATACCAAGCTAATGGTGAAGGAGGAAGGAATCTCAGATCATACCCCACTCATTATAGTCTCTGAAATTGTTCAATGCAACAAAAGCTTCAGATTCTGTGATATGTGGACATTGGATACTGAGTTTCCCAACATAGTGAGAAGAATTTGGGAGAAAAAGATTGAAGGCAGACCAATGTACCAAATATGTCAAAAATTAAAAGAACTTAAGGTACAACTTCGAAGGCTGCATAAACACAAATTTGGGGATATACATAAGGAGAACGAGGGGATCAGAAACAAGCTGCAGGAGATCCAAGCAAGACTTAAACAGAATCCAGAGGATGTTGAACTCATAGAGGAAGAAAGAAACTACATCAAAGTTTAACAGCTGCACCTGATGATTAAACAAATGTGTAAAAGGGATTGGATATTGGAGGGAGATCAAAATTCCAAGCTCTTTTTCTCCTGGATTAAGAAAAGAAGGATTCAGAATCAAATTGTTTCTATAACCAACAAAAATGGAAGGGTTGTTGAGGGTAATAGAGAAGTTGCTGAAGTAATCATAGATTTCTACAAAAACTTGTTGGGAACTCCAAAGGAAACAGAAGAGATTGATACAAAAGCCATGATGAATGGAAAGAAACTGACAATTGAACAACAATTAGATTTGCTCAGAGAAGTTGAAGAAAAACATGTAAAAGAGATAATGTTTGATATTCCAAGCTGCGAAAATCCGGGACCAGATGGCTTTAATAGTGGCTTCTACAAAAATCAATGGAGGGTAGTGGGGAAACAGGTCATAGAAGCAGTAATGGAGTTCTTTGTAAATGGAAAATTCCTGAAGCAAATCAATGCCACAGTTTTGTCTGTTATCCCGAAGATTGAGGCGCCTATCCAGGCTAGTGACTACAGGCCTATAGCTTGTTGTAATGTCATATACAAAATTATATCCAAGATACTCTGTGTCAAACTGAAGGCTGTTCTTCCTACAGTAGTGAGTCAAAATCAAGGAGCCTTTGTGAAGGGAAGAGATCTGGTGCATAATGTGATACTTTGTCATGAAATAACAAGAGGATATAAGAGAAAGGGGATATCACCAATATGCCTATTAAAGCTAGATATACAGAAAGCCTATGATACAGTCAACTGAGAGTCAATCATACAGATCATGAGGTCATTGAACTTTCCCAGACAATACATCAATTGGATTGAATTTTGCATAACCACCCCAGCCTTCTTGTTACAGCTAAATGGAGAGAGATATGGATACTTTAAGGGGAAAGAGGAATTAGACAGGGGGACCCAATATCACCATTACTATTTGTTATGGTCATGGAATACCTGAGTAGACTGCTCCAACAGATGCCTCAAGAAAGAGAGTTCAAATACCACCCAAAGTGTAAAGAACTAAAACTGATAAACCTCTGCTTTGCTGATGACCTGATCCTGTAAGGCTGAAGAGGAATCACTAAAGAGTGTTATGGCAACACTGGATACTTTCTAGAGAACTACTGGACTAAGCATAAACTATGCAAAGTCCCAAATAGTTTTTGGAGGTGTGGACAAAGAGGCACAGGAAAGAATGTTGAAGATCACAAAACTATCAAGGGGGAAATGCCTATAAGATATCTCGGGAGTCCTATAACAGCAAATAGAATCAGTGATAAGGAATGTGATAGACTGGTTAGCAATACTACTGCAAAAATTACTTCATGGGCCTCAAAAAGGATGTCCTATGCAGGGAGATGCAGACTTATAGGAAGTGTCCTACATGGCATAATGACTTTCTGGTGTAAACTATTTATTCTCCCCACAAAGGTGATGAGGAAAGTTCAATGTATCTGCAGGAATTTTTTATGGGGGTCAACTGCAAACTACACTAAAACACCATTGGTGAGCTGGGAGGAGGTATGTGTACCTAAAACCTATGGTGGGATGGGATTAAGGAATATGACAATCTGGAATAGGGCCTACATTCAGAATTACTGGTGGGATGTAGCCTTAGAAAAAGACAATTTCTGGGTAAAGTGGATCCATGGAAGATATATCAAAGGGGATATATGTAGCTATAAACCAAAAGGAGATACATATATGCTTCTATTGGAAGAAGATCATGAAAAACAGAATTTGGTTTGAACATATGCTAGTTAAGGAGGGGTATACAACTGAGAAAGGGTACTTATGGCTGCTCAATCTGGATAGGAAACCTGAGTGGTACCCCCTGGTGTGGAACAAAATGTCTATCCCGAAACACCAAATTTTGGTGTGGCTAATTTGTAAGGGAAGACTAAAAACAAAATCAAAGCTTGCTAGTTTCATGAATATCAACACTACATGTGAAGTGTGCGAAAAGGAGGAAGAGAGCATTGATCACCTATTTAGCCAGTGCGTTGTAACAACTAGTTTGTTATCTAAGCTGGCTTCTTGGATAGGAGAAGACCTCCAGGGTAATAATGTGCATGATATACTGGACAAATTGCAGAGGATAAAAGGGAAGAGAAGACAAAAGTCTGTGGCACTCTTTGCTGCTGCGTGTTATACCATTTGGAACGCAAGAAACAGACTGTTTCATAAAAAGGACGCACAAAAGATGAGGACTTGCTAAATGGAGTTTTACACTATGTAATAACTTACTAGAATAAAGGGAATAAGAAATAGCTGAGAATAGAACAGAGGTGTGTGTAATGGGGTAGTGGTTGGATGCTGTAATCATTGGCTTTGTGATGCTTTAATAATAGTGTGCTTCTGTTCAAAAAAAAGAGAACATGCGTCCATTAAATAACGGTTAAAACTGATAGTGGATGTAACACCCTAATCCGTCTAGGTCTGCATCCCCTTTCGGACTAAAGTATTAACTTGGTAACCGTAAATATTAAAAACATGTCAACCAATTCAAATTTTATTTCATAATATAATATTCATAACAAAAATAATAACGAAGTTTTCAAAGTTGCAGAAGCGTAATTAAAAGATGTCACATCACAATTACAATTAATCAATTTATGCCTTTTGAAATAATAATTCAAAATAATCACATCCATCCTGGCAAATCTCGCCTCTATCTGCCGCCAGGAACACATGTAACATCAAGGAGCAAGCAACATTAAGAATATGACGATGTTTGTGTTCAACTTGCCCATTTTGTTGTGGGGTACCTACACAAGAAGTTTGAATAGAGACACTCATTTCTTGATAAAAATGACCCAAATAACGATATAAGAACTTGGTTTCATAGTTTTATGGAATTGGGTATGGATAAAAGTAAAGAACTGCATTAATTAACTTATGACTATTTTTATCAATGATAAGATAAGACCAAATAGCTCTAGAATGATCATCAAAGAATGCTAAGAAATAATGAGCACTGATAAATAAACAAGGGGTGTATGGACCTCGTAGACCACAATAAATCAAATAAAATAATGCTTCAGCTTTATTATTACAAACTGGAAAAGTAGAACGAGTTTGTTGGGAATAAAAACAATTCTCACACGACTCGAGCTTTTTAATATCAGAACTAGTTTGATTGGTAGGAGGGGAAGACAAAACAGCATGGGAGGGATGACCAAGACGTCTTTGTAAGAGCGTAACTTGGTCGACATATGATGCTGAAGCAAAAACAAGTTGCTAGAAGACATACACTCTGTTGCAAGCTTTACCCCGTCCAATCTTCGTTTTCAAAACCCGATCTTGTATCACACAATTACGATCATAAAAAATTATAAGACAGTTATTTGTATCAATGAAAGAACCAACAAATATCAAATTGCATGTCAAAGATGAAATTAAAAAGACATTTCATACAACCAAGTTGGGAGATAATTTCACACTCCCAAAGAGTTGGCTACCACACGTGCACCATTTAGGAGACTGATGGTGCAAGGTGGTGTCTAGAGGATATCAAATAAGTATGAGAAATTATCCATCATATGGTGCAAGGCACCGCTGTTAATAAGCCAATCAGTAGACAAAGATTGTGGCATACCATTCATTTTGCCGGAGGAGGAAGACATGTCAAGCATGGACAAGAAGCGTGTGACCTGATCCGAAGAAAGGGATGGAGCTTGACCTACAGCCTCCTAAGTAATAATGTGAGCACCGCTGCTAGCAGGCTTGGAAGAACCACTGGGGAGGTCGGTGCAGCTCTTCTACGAACCTCTGTACGTTAGCATGTCCTTCCCCCACAGCCTGTACGACCTCTAGTGCGGCCTCCTCTCCCGCCAATAGAAAAACTAACAAGTAAGAAACACATGTCAACAATATATCCGGTTTTACCACAATGAGTGCATCGGCAATTATTGGGTGGAGGATGACGATTCACTACAAGTGCCATGGCATCACTACAAGTGCCATGGCATCCGAACAATAAACACAACCGTAAGTAATTGAGCAGTGACGCTCTTCCTTTAGACAGACGCACGTGGCATGGGTTTTCCCATCAGCGACTTTGATACCATGTAGAAAAATTATGCACAATTGTTCTGTGTATTCATTAGGCATACAAATGAAACCTTGGGGTAAAAAGAAACATCTTTAATAAAAAAGATGTTCAAAAATAATCTCAAAATAAAGAAATTAAGGAAAATCCTAACTAATTAAGTTTTGAGGCTTCATAAGCATATCGCACAACAATGCATGCATACATCATGTTGAGAGTTACTAAGGAGTCATAAAACATGTGTATACATACATGAGATCGAAATGTTATAGTTTCATCAAATATGATATTAATGTTTTACAAACAACATTTTATAAATAATTGTTATATGTGCTTGTCTGTAATACATATTAATATCATATTTGGAATGACAAAGGGTGACAATAATGATCCATATATAACCCATAATGCAACTTTTACATATCGTCCATCTCCTTCAAATTCTGAATTCTTTCAACGGCCTCATTCAAATCCCATCTGTAATCTAGATCTTCTCGGCAACAAACAACTCCAATCTTCAAAAGCTCTCGCATTTGTCCTCCACTCTCCCTTAAGTTGCCTTGGATCTTCGCATCAAACACTGTTTCCCAATGGCTCTCATCGTTTCCCTCTGCAGCCGCTTTGGATATTGAATTGATCCAAGTTTCCAAGTAGGAATCGGGAGATGTGCCTGTCAATGTCTCCAAAATGAGAATCCCGAGAGTCCAAACGTCCGTTTTTCTGGTGGGGTGGCCAAGGTTGGCGGTGCACTCCGGTGATTTGTAGGCGGCGAGAAGGTTTCGTGGCTCGCCGGGGTTGAGTATTGGGACCATGGCGTAGTCCATTAATATGGGGTTGAATGAGTGGTCGAGGAGGATGTTGGATGGCTTGAGGTGGCCGTGTGGGAGTACTAGGCTCGTTAGCTCCTTGTGGAGATAGAGCATTCCCTTTGCCACACCTTTGATGACCTTTAATCTCGATGACCAATCAAGACTCGAATCTTTACCTGCATTAAAAATAATGACTCGCATATTTTTCTCACCAAACTGGCCCTAGAAACTTGTTCTATTAGGTTAATAGGGGACGGTTCGGCAATGTCATGGGATGATCTGATGGCGCTTTGGTGCCTCGTTCGTAAAATTAACGGTTCCTACCCCTAACCCCCGGTAAACACTCCCCACCCCGCCCTGACCCAAACACACCCCCACCCTCTTAAACTGCACCCCACAAGTTAATTTTGGCTTTGGAGTCAAAATTTGACTCCAAAGTCAAAATTAACTTGTGGGGTGTAATTAAAGGGGGTTGGGGGTGTTCAGGTCGGGGTGGGGTGGGGGGTTTACCAGGGAGATTAGAAGGGTAGGAACCGTCAATTTTACAGACAGGACACTGGAGCACCATCGAATCATCCCATGACATGGAATTCCAATGTCATGAAAATCCCACCGAGGTTAATATATTCGGCACATAATGTCATAGTATGACACTAAGCTATTTTATAAGGGTTTACGATATCCCGTTAGACTCAGAAGTTGTCATACCCCTAGACCTTCTCTTAAACCCCTCTCCACTCACCCCAACCATCTTACCCCTCCCTCCCTATTCGCTGATTGACAATGATAATTTATTATTGTTAATCGACAAACAAGAGGGAGCAAGGGAATTAGAGTGGGTTTTCGGATTTAAGGATAAGAATCACTTTAGGTCTAACGGGACACCGTATACCCCAAAATATGACGACACTACCCTCTAACGTCAAAATAACCAGATCATAATGCTCGGTATATTTTTAACACTAAGATTTGACACAAATGATTGACGCTTTATTTTCAGAGACACGCACAGAAAAATGACCATGTGGTATTATTAATGCTTACCATAAAGATGAGTTGCTAAGTTAGCATTGGGGACAAAATCAGAAATCAGCAATTTTTCTTCTTTCCTGTAGTAATACGCAACAAGAGGGAGCAAATTGGGGTGTTGAAGCCCGGCGAGACGCCGCATGTGCTCCTGGAACTCTTCCCTCCCGACTTGGTTCATATGCTTGAATCTCTTCACCACAACCGCCTCTCCGCCCATCAACACCGCCTTGTACGACGAACCTAGGTTTCCGGCACCTAGCACCTCCGCCGACGCCCTCAGTAAGTCCTGCAGGCTGAATTGTGTCCTGTCCGCCCTCACAAACGCCAGCCTTCCCACCGACGGTGATGCCCCTGCTCCGGCGCTGCTGCTCGGAGTGCTGGCCCTGTCCGGCGACGGCGACGGCGACGCGGTAGGGTTGTTGTTGGGGGAATATAATGGATCGAAGGATCTGCCTCTGTGTAGGCGATAGTGGTATCGGCCCCTGTCGCCGCGGCAAATTAGGTATAGTGCGATGATTAGGGCTACCGCTAAGAGGCATATTGCTGTTAGCATTAGAATTCCTGTAATAGCGGATAATATCGACGACTCTACATCTCCAATGGTTCCCGGCGGCGGCGGCGATTTCAGGGGAGGAGGAGGGCTTTGGATGGTGCAATCGAAATTTACAGGCTTCCCGCATAGTCCCTTGTTGCCTGCATTGCCATTGATGTATATATGATAATTACTTACTTTGATTTTGTATTGGCTAAATTATAGTGCTACTTCTTTAAGGGCGTGTTTGGAAATATCGTTAGAGATTAGCGTTAGCGTTTTGGATAAAATTTTAACGCTTTAGATACTTTGAAAACGTTGCCTGTAGATAGCCTTTTCAAAACGCTAACTCTAATCGTTAACGCTATTCCCAAACAGGCCATAAGTCAATGTGTTATTTCCCGTTACTCTCACTCATTCAATTCCAAAAATTTTACGAATAATCATAAGTCACGTTAGCATTGCATGGTAAGTCTTTCTGTTAACCTCATAAATACATGTACGAGATACTCTTTTTTCTTCGAGTAAATTCTATAATTGGTCCTTTATAACAGGGGAGTTTCCCTATTTAGTCCTCTATTATCAAATATTATACTAGTGGTCCTTCTTTTATGGTTACCTTTCCACAATAGTCTTTTTTTGATCTTCTATCATGTTGATGTTAATTTGAGGGCTAAAAGTGTAATTTCACAATGATAATATATCTTTTTTGTCATACACAATTCCAAAGGCTGTTCCGTTTGCGTCGTTTGTGAATTACAGTCGCTTTTTACGACAACGATAGTCTACAAATGTGATCTTTCGTCAGAATCCTATCCCACAATCATAGTCATTATTTTTATGTTATCCGCTTAACCAATATCAGAACACATCACTAGACATAATGTTGATGTCAAATTATACTTTTAGCCTTTAAATTAACACCAACACGACAGAAGATCAAAAAAAGGACCATTTATGGAAAGGTACCCTTAAAAAAGGACTACGAATGTAATACTCCCTCCGTCCCCGAGTGTTTGTCCACTTTCATTTTTGCACACCATCCAATGCACTTATTTAATCCATTTTATCTTGTAATTTGTATATTAAAAACTTATAAAAATTATATATTAATAATCTATATATTAAGACGAATCAAACAAGATCACACATGACTATTTTTAGACTTACACATTGAGAGAATTTGATGAGTCAAATTGCTTAGATGAATAATTCCAAAAGTCAAAAGTGGACAAACACTCAGGGACGGACCAAGTATTTGATAATAAAGGACTAAATATGGAAACCCCCATGTTATAAAGGACTAATTATGGAATTTACTATTTTTCTTCATACAATTAATTCATATTTGATATATGATAATTACTTACTTTTATTCTTTATTGGCTAAATTGAAGCCCTAGTCCTTCAGCAGATGTGTTATTCATGGTTAGTCTTTCAATCAACTCCGAAAATTCCATGAATAGTTCTTCAAGTCACGTTAGCATTGTAAGGTACGACATTTTCCCTTTTTCATTATAAATACATATAAAAAACACTCTTTTTTCATAAAATCGATCAATATTTCATATAGATCCATTTATTTAGTAATCATAATAATAAATTGCTTTTACTTTTATTATTCCAATATTTTTAATATTATTAAGTTACTCATATTTTTATTGCTTCTACTTTCTAATTAAAAATACTCACTAAGTTCTAAAGTATTTATCAAGTTTTGACTTTTTGTAGTCAATAGGGTTATTCTTTGACTTATAATTTTAATTACGCTTATGATAATATAGTTTCCTAATTTCATAGATCAAAGATTGAAATTACAAGTTGGGAAAAAAATTACAAAAAAAATTAATATTTTTCAATTAAAAAAATTTAAGGTAAAAAACTACCAATTGACCTCATATGCCAAATATAGTTGAACTTAATATTTTCCAATTACAATAAAAAATTTTGATCTATAATTACAATTAAAATTAATATTTTTTAAAAACAAATTAAAACTAAATTTTTTTATCTTTTAAAAAAATAAAATTAGGAAAATTATGATTATAAGTTTTTCCCAATTTTACTAATTTTATATGGAGTATTATTTAAACTATATTAAATTAATTATAATTGATTTTCAAAAAGTATTAATTGAAATTATAGGTCAGAAATATTAAGTTTAATTGAAAACAATTAATTTCAAGTTTTAATTGAAATTTTATTGTTCCCTAACTTGACATTGTAGGTTAAGAATATTAGTCTTTGACCTATAAAATTACAAAAAATGTATTATCATACCGAGTAATTAAAAAATTCTAAGGATGTACCACAAGTTCCCTAACAATGATTTATACATACATAAATGATAATAGTTTGTGAACACAAATAATTATCATCTATGTATAAATAAAATTATCTATGAATGTCGTCATTCGTGTGGACAACCGTGATGTGTTCCTAACATGATCATAATTTATTATTTTAACGTAAATTATATCTCAAACATTAACCTGGTTAAATCAAAATTAAGGGAAGGATCAATCACCCAACGCTAACGTGACATAAGAATGACTATTTGTGAATTTTTTTGAATTGAAAGACTAACCGTGCACGATGGATGAACGATGATAGGACGCTACAATTTAGGTTTTTTTTGTTCAAAATGCTTGGGAAGTGGAATGATGAATGCCTGAAAATGCAGAGGGATCCATGGCGGAGAGGCTGGGAGGGATTGGCCCATCAAGCCGATTATTAGACGCGTTGAACATCTTGAGTCCGGTGCGAAACTCCGGTATGTTCCCGGTGAAACCGTTGTTTTCGAGCCGGAGCTCCAGGAGCCTCGGCGTGGTCGCCAGCGACGTGGGAATCCTCCCGGTAAACCGGTTGTTCGCCAGGTGAACTTTCTTCAGAGAACCCATGCCGGAGAAAGCATCGTCGCCGATCTCCCCGCTAAATCTGTTGCCGGACAAGAACAGAGACTTGAGCGCCCCCAATTTCCTCCAGTCCGGCATCAACCCTTCAAATCCGTTGTTCTCGAAGCTCAGAAACCGGAGGAATCTCAGCGCCGCCAGGGCATCGACGTCGATGTCGCCGGACAGGCCCAGCCCGTCGAGCTGGAGGCCCATGACGTCTCCGTTCAAGCAGAGGACGCCTTTCCAGTTCCCCGCGTTGCCGGAGCACGGGCTTGTCGACGTGTTCCACGAGATCAGGACCCGGTCCACGGCGGCGCCGTTGGTGGATGATATGAGGGTGGTTTTGAATTCCACCAGAGCGGCGGCAGAGCTTCTTGCGGGGTCGTCNAGAGACACAGAGAGATTGGTGCTTAATTAAGGATGAAACAAAATGAGAAGGAAAGGAAGTTCATGGTGATAATTTACCTCAGCATTCCTGAAATTATATGTGTACAAGAGATTATTAAGGTAAAATTTGTAGTTTTTTTAATATGACTATTATTTTTTTTTTGGGTAAAAGGTTTTAAGTCAACAAGTAGTCAGTTCCGCCATTAGAGATGTAGTGACCAAAGGAGTATGAGTCTCTCTAGACCTAGTAAAAAATGACTTGATCTTTTTTTTACCTGAAAATACTGGGTTTTGAATAAAAATTTTGATAACTAAATTTGAAGTTGACTGAATCCGAAATGACCCGCTAAAAATGGGTCTAATCCAACCGAACCGGAATCTGACCTGACCGACCTGCTAATGTAAGCGTTTTTGAAAATTACTTCCTCCGTCCCACTATATTTGTCCACTTTCATTTTTGCACACCATCCAATACACTTCTTTAATCCATTTTATCTTGTAATTTGTATATTAAAAAATTATAGAAATTATATATTAATAATCTATATGTTAAGACAAATCAAACAAGATCACTCATGACTATATTTAGGCTTACACATTGAGAGAATTTGATGAGTCAAAGTGCTTAGATGAACAGTTCCAAAAGTCAAAAGTGGACGAATATAGCGGGACGGAGGGAGTATATACTTTACTACTCGATTTTAGCATATAAAATTAATTTTCGGACAAAATTTTAATGATATTGCATAGTTATCTTACTTTTTTCTAAAACTTGTGCATTTTTAAATTTCTTGTATTGATTTTTTTATCTAAAAATTACTTTAGAGTTTAAAATAAAATAATCTATATATTTAATACATATTTTTTTGAGATTCGAAATTTATTTAATACAAAATGAAAGTGTTAATGTGAATATAAAAGTTTAAAAACCAAAGTCATAACCCGTTGGGCTGACCCGAACCCGGTGACATTGGGTCATGAACATATAATTCTCAATCCGAACCCGTATTGACCCAAACCCGAAATAACCCGAATCCAAAATGATTGTCAGCTCTACGTCCCCTCCAGAAGAAGAACTAGCCAGGCTCAGCTTTTGCTCCATCTCAAGGTTAATTTCTTCCGGAGTGAGCCATCTAGAAAGTTGATTGAGAGTAATGTCTTTGTTTTGGAGACGAATCTTTTGTTTGAAACCAGAATACTCGAAGGGAAACCACGTATAACAGTATTGACAACATCACTTTCAGGGAAGTTTTCACTCAAGACATCAAGATCGGCAAGGAACGATCATGGTAATTTCATCAAGATATTGAGTCATTGATTTGGTACCTATCCGGAGAGTGTGTAGCTTGTCGCGAAGTTCATAAATATGTGGGGTAGGGACAAAATTGTGCCTTGTTGCTAATGCATCCTACAAGCTAAGGCAGCATAGGTGGTGAAGCCCCAACCATATTTAATGAAGGTTACGACCATACAGCTCGGTACCATGATATAATAATTGGGCTTATTGAATAATGAAAGTTACATCCCTCTATATAGGAGTTGTAAGGGAGAATTCTAATCCTAGATTAACAAACTTTATGGTAACAATACAATAAGGATATAATAGTAAAGAAGGTTGTTAGCGTATATCATGTATATATTATTTTATGTATATCATTTTGTAACATTGTGGGCCTATCGTGTTGGGCTTGTAACTTGTATTTAATCAAGTCCTTGCCGGTTGTCCTTGCCGGAACGCCATCAGTCCCTCGCCGGTGAACCGCCTCATGTCTCCGTCCTAGTCCCCTGTCTCGCCTGTCCGAGTCCTCTGTCTCGCCGGCGAAGTCCCTGTTCGCTCGTCCCTGTTCCGGTCTTCTGTGAAGAAGATCTGTTGCCCGTCCCTTTTCCGGTCAGAATCCCCTGTTGAAGTTGCCGCCCAGATTCACCGTTTGCCCGTTGAAGTCGCCGCCCCTTTTCCGGTCATCTGCGCAGAATCGCCATCAAATTACAGCAGCAAAGCAGCAACTTGTCCAATTGCTTTGTCCGTCCAAGTGATCCGTCCGTCCAAATTGCCGTAGCAGTTTCTCCCACCAGTGTTCTGTCCAAGTGGTCTGTCCAAGTGCTCAGTTTGTCCAGATTTGTCAGTTTACAATTTTGCAATTTGTCCAGGAGTTTGGATTTGTTTGGTGTGAAAAACATTAGCATAAAAACTACCAAGATGACTACTACCTCGTGTGATTGGTCGATTGATAGCGGTGCTTCTCATCATATGACGGGTACTCTGTCTCACATGTTCAATATTGAGGATGTTTTCTCTCATCCTATTTGTCTTCCCGATGGCTCCCGGATTCAGGCTACTAAAAAGGGAAGTGTCCGTGTGACCTCTAGTCTGGTTCTCCATCATGTGTTTTACGTCCCCACGTTGCATTGTCATTTGATTTCTGTCAGGTGTTTGATTCGGGACACCATCTGTTATGTTACTTTTAATGATTTTGGTTGTGTAATACAGGACTGTTCGTCGAAGATGGTGATTGGACATGGTGAAAAGCGAAACGAAATATACATCCTGGTTTCTTCCTCTGCGTCAGCTAATGTGGCTAATGTGGATCCTTTGCTACTTCATCAACGCTTGGGTCATCCTTCCTCAGATATTATTTCCCTTTTAAAGTCCAATAAGTCAGGTTCTGTTATCAAGAAACTTCAAGCTTGTGAGATTTGTTTTTTGTCTAAACAAACTCGTTCTTCCTTTCCTGTTAGTCATAATAAAGCTGAAGCAATCTTTGATTTAATTCATTGTGATTTATGGGGTCCTTATTCTCCGTGTTTGTCATCTGGTGCTCATTATTTTCTTACAATTGTCGATGATTTTTCTCGTGCTGTTTGGGTATATCTTATTCGTACTAAAAGTGAGGTAACATCTTGTCTTAAACGGTTTTTTACCATGATTCACACCCAATTCTCTAAAATCATCAAAGTAGTCCGGTCTGATAATGGCACCGAATTTCTCAATGCCCCTTTACGTCAATATTATGATTCCATGGGTGTTTATATCCAAACGTCGTGTGTTGGTACCCCTCAGCAAAATGGCCGAGTAGAACGAAAGCATCGTCACATTCTCAACATTGCTCGTTCTCTCATGTTTCAAGTGTCTCTTCCAGTTGAATTTTGGGGGGAATGTGTCAAAACTGCTGTTTATTTAATTAATCGCACACCGACAAAACTCTTGGGTGGGAAATCTCCTCTTGAAGTACTTTCGTCTAAACCACAAGATTTGAGTCATCTCCGGGTTTTCGGTTGTCTCTGTTTTGTCTGTCAAACACCTAAACCCCCAAACAAATTTTGTCCCCGTAGCGTGAAATGCATGTTTATTGGGTATCCCTATGAAACAAAAGGGTGGCAGGTGTATAACTTGGACACTCACCAATTTTTTCACGCTAGGGATGTCGTGTTCGACGAATCACAATTCCCGTTCTCTGTCCCGAACACTACCAGTCCCGTCCAACCCGTATTAAACCCTGCCGACGTCGATTTTCTCGTCGTCTCTCAGCCAGCTGCCTCCCTCGGCGACACCACCACCGAGCAGCCCAGCCCGCCACCGTCCCCAACTCCGTCCCCCGTCCCTGTCCCGTCAACCGAACAACCCCCTCTTCCCATCATTGTCCAGTCCACGGGCGAGGCCATCTCGTCCTTCCCGTCTCCATCTCCTTTACCTCCTCGCACCCGTCGCCTTCCCTCCCGCCTCAATGATTATGTCCTCAATTCTGTGTCTACAGTCACTCCGTCTCCCTCTTCACCTGGCTCCATCTCGTCCGGTACACGGTTCCCGATTATTAACTATGTTCATTATGATAAGTTGCATAACAAGTACAAGGGCTTTCTTGGTGCTATTGATGCTTCTCCGGTTCCCACATCATATAGGGAAGCTGTCAGATATGCTTCTTGGAGGGAAGCTATGGCACAAAAATTTACTGCGTTGGAGCGCAACCATACTTGGGAGATTACTGTTCTTCCTCCTAATCAGCAGGCCCTTGGTTGTCAGTGGGTGTATCGTACTAAATATCGGTCTGACGACACCAAGGAGCGGGATAAAGCCCGTCTGGTTGTCTTGGGAAACCACCAGGAGGTGGGGGTCGACTTCACCGATACTTTTGCCCCCGTAGCCAAGTTGGCTACAGTTCGGGTGTTGTTGTCTGTCGCAGTTGCACGAGGATGGCAGGTTGATCAGTTGGATGTCAACAATGCCTTTTTACATGGGGATCTTCAGGATGAGATCTATATGAAGCTTCCACCTGGATACTCTCATTTGTTTCCTGGGAAGGTTTGCCGTTTGCGAAAGTCTTTATACGGGCTCCGTCAGTCTCCCCGTAATTGGTTTGCCAAGCTTCGTATGGCCCTACGTTGCTATGGCTTTCGCCAGGCCCATGCGGATCATACTCTTTTTGTTCTCTATCGTGGTCCTGATATACTTGTTGTTCTTGTTTATGTGGATGATATTCTTGTTGCAGGCAATAATCCTTCCTTGTGTTCTTCCTTTAAAAAGTACTTGGATGCATGTTTTCAGCTCAAAGACCTTGGTCCTGTCTCTTATTTTCTGGGTATAGAATGTGCTCGCTCCTCTACTGGTATGGTTCTTAATCAGCGCAAATACACATTGGATATTCTTCAGGAGCACAATCTCTCCGGATGCAAGCCTGCCGACACCCCCTTGCCCAGCAACCACAATCTCGCCCGCTCCACTAGTGCTGAGCTTCGGGATGCTGCTAAGTACCGTCGTCTTGTTGGCCGTTTGTTGTACTTGACCATTACTCGGCCAGACATCTGTTATGTTGTTCATGCTTTATCTCAGTTTATGCAGGCTCCACGTCTGAACCATTGGAACGCTGCTCTTCGCGTTCTCCGGTATCTTAAAGGGCACCCAGGTCAGGGTATCCTCTTCCGTCGTGATAGTGACTTCACCTTGACAGCTTATTCTGATTTAGATTGGGCGAGTTGTCCGATCACCCGTCGCTCTATCACTGGTTATTTTGTCCTTCTTGGTGGGTCCCCTATTTCTTGGCGTACTAAAAAGCAAACCACGGTTTCACGTTCTTCTGCAGAGGCAGAATACCGCGCCATGGCTAACGCTTGCGCCGAGATTCGGTGGCTCCGTGGTCTCTTGGCCGCATTACAGGTTCCTTGTGTTGCTACCCCGCGCTTATATTGTGATAACAAGTCAGCCCTCTTCATTGCAGCTAATCCGGTGTTTCATGAGCGCTCAAAACATATCGATATCGACTGTCATATAGTTCGGGAATGCCTCCAGCGTGCTCATATTGTCACAGCCTATGTTCCCACACGGTTGCAGACAGCAGATATATTCACGAAGGCGCTCCCCGGTCCTCTTTTCCGTTCTCTTTTGTCAAAGTTGGGCATTTTTGATCTCTATGCTCCAACTTGAGGGGGAGTGTTAGCGTATATCATGTATATATTATTTTATGTATATCATTTTGTAATATTGTGGGCCTATCGTATTGGGCTTGTAACTTGTATTTATATCCTTCGGTATCTATGAAACAATCAAGTCATTCAGTTCACCAAATTCTACAAAGGTAATCAATTTAAGTTTTTATTTCCTATTAAACTTGATTTTTATTCTTAAGCGTGTTTTTATTTAGACTTTTTTAGTTTTTGAAATAGCTTCGTTTTGCACAAATGTTTTTTTGAAACATAACATTACAAAAGTGGTGAAAATAGTACAATAATGTTTTCTCCGACATGCAACCTAACTATAACTCGTTACATTTTTTTGTATCGCAATTTTTTTTCATTCTCTAAAATTTTATTCGATAATCAACTATTACTCGTATTATTTTTTCCAACATGGCACTACAAAACATGTGAATTGTTTTCGATAATTCAGTACAAATTTGTTCGTCAAAATAACAATTCAAAAGTTGTAAAAATGAGACTGTAATTTTTTCTCCAAAACGACACTAACTATTTTAATAGCTCACTACAACTTTTTTATATTGCAATTTCATTCTCGAGCAATACTCCGATTTATTTTCCGGTAGTCCACTATTATATTTTCCACAAAATAGAAATAAAAAATTTAATTTCTGAATCATTATATTTTTTAAAAAATTGAAACAAATTTGTAACACGAGTGTACTCTTATTTTTATTAACATAAATTTAAAATTTAAAACTAAAAGCGATACAAAACATCAGTTATTACTAATAACCAATGCAAAAGAAAACTAGTTTGTGAAACCTCCAACCCATTTGCATCAATTTTCGGTGAAACCGATGTAAATGGATCGGAGTAATCGATTTGATCTTTTTTGTAGAAGTAATTTACCTGAAATAATTTCACCTTTCATTTATTTGTGAAAAACAGGCACTTTCTAAAAGATCAGTTAAGTGACTATTAGCTTCCTAATGGCAACCCGAAACTCGCACACATGAGGAAATGTGAAATTTTCCATGATAGTAAAAAGTGAGATTATTTTTAGAAAAGCGCGAAAGAGTCATATTTTTTTAAGATAACTAGTTTATACCCCATGCTTCGCATGGGTGCGTGTACATTTATATGAATTATATCTGCAAATGTGATATTCTATGTAAAAGATTAAATTAAAAATGAATAATTAAGTAAAATTCACTTTGTATATATATTAAAGTAGTCATGTTAAATCCTCTATTGAAAAATTTATTGAACTACTCCAAAGTCATTTACTTCAACTCTCAATTTTTTAGATTTGATAACATTATTTGGATAAACATGAATGGACTCAAATTAATTTTTCCATATACTAGTATCACACCCGTGCGTTGCACGGCTCGCATTTATATTATTAAATTATATTCGGATCATTATTGAAGAATAGAAATTAATATATAATAGAATATACAGTTCAGTATTTTAAGGGATTGAATATAAAATTTTTATCTCTATCACAGTGGATTATGCAATACTAATTTTGAAAAAATTATATTTGTTTTACAATCTCATAATAAATGTGGAACTTATTTTTTATTTATTGAACATCTTTTGAATGAGTTTAAATTTTTAAATGGATGAGATATTTCCCATTATTAAATCTTATTATGTTTGTCCTTACAAAACAATCATTATTCAAGGCTATTTGAATTCTTATCATTTATAGATAAGTGTTTTTTTATTTCCATTTTAGTTTATTTTATCAATTGATTTATTTCCATTTAAAAATATGTACTAAAATATACTATGTTGAATATTTATTTCTTGCCATTTTTAGATGATTGTTTTTATAATAAAATATATATTTCATCCATTGATTTATTTCCATTTATACTAAATTTTTTTGTAAAAAAAATATTATGTTGAATATTTATTTCTTTCCATTTTTAAATAATCTTTTTATACTAAATTACTTAATTTTACCCATTGATTTTTTTATTTTTATATTAAAATTAACTATGTTGAATATTTATTTCTGAATATTTTCCAAAAATAAACCCTATGGCAAGGATATTTACTAAACCATTTATAAAAATATATTCTAAAGAAAAGACGCCTCAAAGTGATATTAGGATTTCATTTTTGGAGAAAAGA